GAAAATACACGGAAACCGATTCGCGACCTTTGACCCCGGCGCCCACGCTCGCCAGCGGCCCAACCGCATTAACAAGCCACGCGACCCAGGAGGACCTACCGGTGACCTGTAATCCGCGCGAGCGCACCACCCTAGTTCTCGATCTTCGAACGAATTCGCAGAACCAGCAGGTGGTCGGTATTCAATACACTATTTTCGTTAGACGAATTATTGTTACTATCATTTTTATCGCCTTTTTGTTATAGGTAAACTTTTTCTGAATAAATTCTCTCTTTCTTATTCCTTAAATAAAAAAAATATTAGTAATCAATAATATTAATAATTTTGTTAAATATTATAATATTAATTAGTAACAAATAAAAGATGGTTCTTGTGTAAAAGTATAATAATATAGAATAATTATATTATAAAAATTTCTGTGATATAAAAATAATAAATAAATTATACCACAGTAGATGACAACCCTGCTCTAAGAGATAAAGTAAAAATAAAATAAAATTTAATTCCGAAAAGATTAATACAGTTCATGTATGTTATGCAAAAGATATGATGCTTCACGAGTACACTATTGAAAACTTGAAGAAATGCCTAAATATTTTATTCATATTACATTAAAATAGTTGTTCCCTTATTGAAGATGATTTTCCTGTATATAAAAGTATTATCGATGATATATTCGGTTTTAGGAAAATGAAACCTTTAGCTGGCATGCTCTTACGCTCGAGCTACCGCCGATGCCCCGGAAAAGCGAGATATTTGTCTGTAAGCCGGTCTCGAGATCACATCATTTGTCAGTGGCACCAGCGCCGCCTCCTCCATCACCTCCCTCACCTCCCTCACCTGTCACTGAAAGATGCGAAACGGTAAGTATCCGATTCTTTCTCTAGAAGCTGTGCATATGCGCCTTCCTCTCGCATGTTTGAAATTTTATGTAATTTGAAAAATAATATAAAAATAATATATGCTGCTTATATACCGGTGAAAGAACTCGTCCAAGAACGTGGAGGAAGAAGCCGATAGCGTCAGCGAACAACAACCGGTAATTATTCGAAGACGGGGAAAGCGATTGCGTAAAAGAAAGTGTAGGAGGGGCTCGACTTACGGCCAACAAACGGAAGTTCGCGATCCGCTCGAGCCCACGGTAACACAAGTCTCACAGATCGGAAACGGATCGCGGCGGCCATCGTTAGTACTTACAAAAATATATATTAAAATTTATAAAAATAATGTATTGTATTTTTATATATTTATATTAATGTATGATATGAAGAGAGAATATCGAATTGAAAGAAAAGATAAGAAAAATTATTTTCTTAACACAAAAAACCACGTAACAGGGCTCATATTAATATCGATAATGTTGACGACTCGATCTCTTCAAAGAAGACGCCCGTGCATACAATAAGTCACACGATGCCTCCGAGTTTCCTTACACATGACATTCTGAAACACTTATGTCGAGAAATAGATCGCGATACGGTGGAGGCGGAATTCTCCATTAAAGTAAATATTCTGAGATCTCTAAATCTGCTAAATGTTTTCTTAAATGTTAATTAATTAAGTTATTTTAGAAACGAATCGCCTTAGAGGAAGCGTTACGAGTAAAAGGCGACGCTTACTCAACTCTGCGCGGATCTCGTCAAACGAGCGCCAGCTTGTTGGCGCAAAACGCTCCCAGAGTATTTTCCCGTCAAACAGTACGATTTGAATTACTCGACAGTCAAAGTCTTTATGGTACGTCTTACGTATAATTCATTAATCTATTTTCGATAGGTTGGAAGAGATGAATTTAACGCTATACTAAAACAGGTAACAAATTTTATACAAGGTGTTCCTCACACACTAAGCAAAGTTTCTTCGATCTTCTGTACTTTAGAAATTATATATAATCGATATTTATACATAAGTATTTATATTTATATTTTTACCTGTATTAATTTATTCACGCATTGTGGTGATATGATTGTTGTAGGATTAACGCCACTTCGATATCTCAGCAAGTATGCATACATCACTTCGGGAAGGAAACTGATATTCGGTCGAATATTTAACAGATTTAACGACGAGGCGTTGAACAACGTGCGACGCATTTCGTCGAGCAGCGTCGAAGAAGCTCTTCAAGAAGTGATCGGGAAAGCGTTGACAGACGAGCAACGATCCTATCTGAGGTCTGTGATAGGAGAGATAACAGACTCATTGGACTTTAGGGAGTGGTGCGGATTATGCGCTGCTGTCGAGAGGCTGCTGTGTCCTCTGCCATCAAAAACAAGCGATCCACCAGCCTGGCTCGAAAAGGTAGACTTCGAAGCTCTGGAACGAAGACTCAAGTCAGCCGAGTCGGTAGATACCACGTTGGCATTATTATTGAAGGAGATTCGTGACAGATAAAATATGATGTGTGTTTCTCTTATTATACATATTCTTTTTTATCACAGTGATAGCTAATTATAATGTTGGTATCATAAATCTTACGATGAAATTTAGTATGTTATAATTATTTAATGTAAGTCTAAAAAATAAAACTTTTTTCACGATTCTACAAACGATCCCTATATATGTATATATATAATAAATATATATCTTGACGAATTCCACAGTAAATGTTCAATAGTTAGATATTTAAAGCAAAAACATACAAATTATGAGTATCTATTCGTTCATAAATTACGAATGAAAACTACAGAGAAGATACGAATTACTTAATTATAATTAATACGTGTGATTAATCGAAATGAGAAATTGGTCTTCCATAAATTGTATTAAATTTCGATCGTTACTTTATAAAAAATGGACCATGAATCAATTCATTCGTGTCATTGATATGTAATTCTCGTATAACTTTGCTAGATCGAACATTTACTAATTTCGTACATCGATCATGACGCGTAAAGATTACGATCCGTTTAAACATAATGTAATGGAGATCACAAATACTTACTCACGCCTTTAGCGTTGATCTACTGACACAAGATGTAGGACGAAAGAAAGTTCTTCTCATCTACGTTCATCGCACATTTTATTGCCAGAGCGGACTCGCGTATATCCACTCGAGCGTACACATGTTGCTTGTATATTCGGTATTAGATTTTTTTGGCTAATATACAAACGAGTTTTCTTGTTCTTTCTCTCTCTCTCTCTCTCCCTCTCTCTCATTCTCTCGCACTTAACAACATAATAAATAATGGGTCACTTCTGTTTCATCGTAAGGATAATATATAAAAACCGGTGTCTCTTTCTCTCTGCATTATTAAATAAATTAAGTAAACGAGCGATAGGACGAAACATAAAAATAATAAGAACACGGGATCGCGTAGAGTACTAGGTTATAATAATACACTACCGGATGTGTGTCTCGTGTTTTTCGTGTCATCTGTTAATTTTTGTTCGTCGCTCGGTCGGTCGCTAGTCGCTACGTCACATATTGCACATACAACTAATGTACAAATATAACGAGATGCCTACGTGTTCGCGCCAGTGACCAAAAGGAGCCGCGATTAAGTATATGTGGGTGTGTGTGTGTGTTCTTGTGTATCACATGTGCGTGCGTGTATGTATATGTTGTGTATGGGCACGCGCGCATTATCCTCGTGGCCCTGGGAGAACGTACGCACGATACGATGTCACTTCTGTTTCATCGTAAGGATAATATATAAAAACCGGTGTCTCTTTCTCTCTGCATTATTAAATAAATTAAGTAAACGAGCGATAGGACGAAACATAAAAATAATAAGAACACGGGATCGCGTAGAGTACTAGGTTATAATAATACACTACCGGATGTGTGTCTCGTGTTTTTCGTGTCATCTGTTAATTTTTGTTCGTCGCTCGGTCGGTCGCTAGTCGCTACGTCACATATTGCACATACAACTAATGTACAAATATAACGAGATGCCTACGTGTTCGCGCCAGTGACCAAAAGGAGCCGCGATTAAGTATATGTGGGTGTGTGTGTGTGTGTTCTTTTGTATCACATGTGCGTGCGTGTATGTATCATATATGTTGTGTATGGGCACGCGCGCATTATCCTCGTGGCCCTGGGAGAACGTACGCACGATACGATACTACTTGGCTAGAGTCTCTATAATACACAGCGCAGCGCTATCCGCCGTATAACGGAATTTTTTGGGACGTTCCGTTTGTGATCGAGATGTGCCAAGAGAGGAATTTTTATCCACTTGTTTGTTTTTTATTAATGCCGCAGCGAAAAATTGAGAGCGAGCTTTCGGAGAACGAGGCAGTACGAGTGCGTTTTGCCATCGATACCATTTCACGAGAAACGCTCCTCTCGCTCTACTTAAATCTCTTTCTTCATCCATCGCCACTCTCCCCAATCATTCGATTAGTATAAAAAAAGTTGCTGCTGTCGCTGCTGCGGGGCAGTGGGACTGGAGTATGTTGGTGCGACGTTGCACGTGATGGCGACGATGGGCTAGTTGCCGTTTGTGGATCGCTGCGTCGCCGGAATCACGGCGTCCCGCTCAGTCCCGTAGATCTTACCTGCTTTCCTCGCCATATTGCCGAGCATCTCCATTGAGCATTTGTGAGCCGATCTTAACGAGAGCGCCCATTCCTTCAAGCTTATCTCGTCCTACGGGAAAATTATTATTGTTAGTGTTTAAACTATTCGACAATTGGATGATTCAAAGAGTTCAAACTCTCTACTCAAGAATCTTAAAATTTTTCGATTTTTTAAAACAATACATTCGACGTTATTAGTGCCTTTTACTTCCGTTAAAACTATTTGTATGATATACTCAAACTTTAAATTAAAATATTTTCACATTTCAAACTAAAATATTCTTATCTATATCTTTAACATGAGATTATTTTATATGAGATAATTTGTATTTTATCGTCAAGTAAAGATATTGAAAATAAATTCACTTACGGCATTCGTAAGTACGATCTTTGCATCCCTTGTGCGCATTACGATGCACTGTTCTCCCTTAACAAGCTGCAAGTCTGCCCCGACTTCCTCTACCTAAAGACATTGCATATTGTATAATATAGACCATTCTTTCTCGCGAGTAAAACAAAACATGAAATGTATACAAGACATAATTATTAAGTAAATACTGATATATCTACAACATTTTAATTAGACAATTTTATTCCTGCTTTTATCCCTTTCATATATTCTTGTTCTTTGTAAGCGATGCGCTTACCTGATCGAGAAACACGAGCTCGGGCTTAGTCGCAGATTCTGGATGTAATTCTAACCGATTTGGATAAAGTTTCGCGTAACGTGTTTGCCATGCGCTCGCGAATGGACCCCCTAATTTTTTTATATAACCGTGTAACATACAGTCCGAACCTGTAAATACGAATAATGACATTGTATCAGTTACAGTTCCATCTAAATTTTAGAATATCGAAACACAACGCGGTTACCTTTCTCATCCGTGTCAAACCGTTGCTTTTGTTTCGCCTTTTTCTTATTTTCCAACTGTCAGAAATATAAAATGCAATCAGTTACTAAATAACAATGATATCATATTAAGATGTGTCTTTTTTACCTTATCCGCTTCGTTATTGATTGTCTCGAACACAGTCTCGGCTACTTCAGCCTGCCATCTTTCAGAGATGACCAGAGGAAAGTTTTTGTATAGATCTTGATCCGCCTCCGTCAGTTTGATTCCTTTCGTGTCTTCCTCGTCGAAGGAACCGATGTCAAAGGCATCTGCGGCGTTGACTTCGCCGCGCGGTGGTATTAAGGGCGGCGTATATTTTTGCAGATACACCTGCTGCCAATCGATACCACTGAAAAATGGGTGCGCCTTTAACTCGTCCGTACCGTTGCCGCGACAGCCGAGTCTGTTGTTAACATCTCGTTGTAGCAAACCTTCCAACAGCGATCGCAACTCTCGTGAAAACGTCTCCGGTAATTCAACATTCTGCAAACGATCAAAAAATTGTTCGAATCTTTGGGTATGTGTTTTTCGACAGAGATCTTTATCGAAATGGTTTAAATCTTCGTTGATTATTCACTGCAGCAATATATTACATATGATAAACCGAAAAATTGTATTTTTCCATCAAAAATTTTAATACAATTTTTACAATATCATGATTCAATACGGCTGCGATGAAATATTGAAAGTCTCAGCGCACAACTCACCATAGTCAATGTCATACGGTCTATCTCGTGTTTGTCCTTGGTTTTGTGTTGCCTAAACGGACTATGGCCTTTCAAGAGCTTGTACAGCATACAACCAAAAGAGAACCAATCCGCACTCGAATCGTACGCAGTGCCCTTCGAAAGTACCTCCGGCGCCATATATCCGTGCGTGCCACTGTTACAAGACAGGAGATCTAAAGTGATGTTTATACGCGTCGAAAAGTTTAATCGTGCTTTAGCACAGTATTATACGTACACGCTCGCGTGCGGTTTCTTCTTCGAGAAATCGCATGCTAGTCCCAGATCCGATATCCTGACGTGACCGTGCTCGTCCAGCAATATATTCGCGGGTTTCAGATCACGGTAGACAATGTACCTGCGATGCATGTGTTCTAAGCCGAGGATCACCTCCGCGGCGTAGAACTTCATTTCCGGTTCGTTGAAGACTCCGTGTTGACTTAAGTGGTAATGCAAATCGCCGCCGTTCATCAGATCCAGGATGAAGCATAGCTTGTCGGCCGTGTGAAATGCGTACGTCATACACACTATGAATGGACAATCTACCTGCAGTGACAATATTTTACGTTTCGCTATTATCGCTTATGATTCATCGCAAAGATATTTTCATTTTGAAAAAAAAAGAAAAGAAAAAAAACACTCACTCCGGTGCTGACTAGCGAGAGCATTATCCTCTCGTTAAGAGCTAACGTTTCACCCTGTTTCATCTTAATGCGCTTTTTATCCAGGCATTTCATGGCGTACATCTTGCCGGTATCCGCTTTCCGGCAACCGTATACCTCGCCAAAGCCGCCTCTGCCTATTATTCGATGCACGCTGAAGTCGTTCATCGTCAACTATAATTTCCATTAAACGATTATAATACAATGTCAAAAATATTGTCTTTGAAAAAAATAATTTGACCAATAATTCGAGAAATATACCTGGATATTCAACTCTAAGTTTTTCCATTGGCAAAAACGAGTGTATTTATCGCTGTAAAAAAATCATGTACAATTTATTCATTACAATCGCAGCATGACTTATATCGTCAAAGTATTATACCTTTCGAGAAATTTCTGAAACGGTTCCCCTCGCAGATGATTAAAAATCTCCTCGATGTACGGCTACAAATAGAAAGGATTTCGTGAGTCATGTAAATATCGATACGTATGCGCAATCGCGTAGATAAGGCTACGAGACAATGACCTACCTCGAACAAGTTAACTGGGACTTCATTCTTCATGAGATACTTGTGCACGTGAGATACCGCCTCTTGAGAATATTCCTACAAAAAATATATAGATGCGTCGTTATATATCAAAATCCTAGATAAAGTTTTCCTCTAGCGATATCTCTAGAGGAAAAACGTGAATGTTCGACTCGATGCCGCGTTATACTCACGTGAGAATGCGCCAATAACTCTTTCATAATGTAATTGTCGTAGATCTCTCTCGCAAGTTTTCTCCTCTCTTCCGGACATTCGAGCTTCTCGTACGCTTTGATCTACAATGCATAAATAAGCAATTTCTTTACGCAGTTGTCTCAGCGATGTATGATATATGCGACGCTACTGAAATTTAATTAAATAGTGTGCGGGCTAAAAACACGAACCTCTTCGTAAAACCTAAGTTGCGGAATCGGTTCCTCCGCTACAGTCTCGCAGAAGTCTTTGAATAAAAGGTAACCTGGAAGTACATGTGGAGTTTGCTTGACATTGGCGAATATTACAATATTGTCACAACTCACTACATTGACGTTAATCTCACGCAAAGTGATAATTCACGATAGAAGCAAATAAATCCGTATAAATCGGCGCGGTTCTGCCAAAGAAAATAGATTTTTCCAGATCATCTCAGAGGATAGCGATCAATTCATACATTTCATTCTGCGCGACGCGAAAAGAATCAAATACATTATTAAATCATCTTACTCGGGATTATTTTACGCGATTGAGATAAAAATCTATTCAATACTCGAAAAGATGTATCAAAATAATGCTTTAAAAATAGTAAACACTCGATTAAAACGAGACTGTCAATTATCTCGAGAGTATCTTTATCAAATTTTTTACGCGCACGAATATTTATATTTGTCGTTAAAATCTTTGAAATTCACGGTACGAAACATGAGTCGCGAAAATTATTCTGCACAATAATATAATTATGACTACAATTATCTGTGAATAATGCATGCACGCATCTCGCACAGTGTATCGAACAAAGAAAATATGCCAATATCTAAAATAGTATACATCGAAGTCATATCGTCAAACACAGATAGAAACGCTTATGGGGAGCAAGTTCTCCTCGTTACAAACTCGACAAACTATTAACTCGACCAATTTATGATCTAAATTTAAGCATCCCTTTGTCTTTAATCTCGTCAAAAAGCGAAGGTCGCGAATAGCGATGGATTAAAGGATGGAATATCGAAGCAACAGCTTACTCACCTAACATTTGATTAAATATTTTGTCGAAGTTTACTTCGTTACTCTTCTCCAGATATCTGTGCATAACGCTCCTAACGCTGAAACAGAAAAGATTTATTTTATAATTAATAAATAGCCTTAATATTTTCTAGATTAATATCTCCTCTCTCTCTCTCTCTCTCTCTCTCTCTCTTTCTTTCTTTCTCTCTGAGCAACTAATAAAAGTACGGCAAGTATAAACAACACAGTCATGGAAAATAATTACAAGGAGTGTAAACTAAATTAATTGCATCGAAATGAGATATAAGCCGAACTTAAGCGTAAGAAGAAAAAAAATGTAAGAAAGAAAAGCAAGAATTATAAAACAAAAGTAAAACAATATAAATATAAATATAGGTATATATACATACACATATAAGTATATTTTAAACTTTAAAATATATGTATATATTTTCGATTTTAAGATATATATATATA